TGCCATTTTACTTTGGAATTTATTGGAAATACTATAGATATCTCGGTTACAGTATTTGTATATTGAAAATTTAGAAGAAAGAAAAATTGTAATATCATATAGAGATTTGTTAATAGACTTTTTTGTTACCTAACAGATGACGACAAGATGTACAAAATGTCGTCAAACCTGGTAATGGCAGTGTCTGGAGAGCCAGGAGACACAACCCAGTTTGCAGAGTACATTGCCAAGAACATTCAGTTGTATAAGATGCGCAACGGCTATGAATTGGCCCCCTCTGCAGCAGTTCACTTCACAAGACACACTCTTGCCACACACCTGCGCTCTCGGGTATGTATTGCTGGCTTTTTTCATTAGGAACAGATAAAGGTCTTTAAACCCTTCACAAGAGAATTTTCCTTTGACTTTACAGTGATTAGTATTTCATGTATCTTATCTTAAGTGTCCATATGTAATGCTGAATAGTTCTTTGTTTTTACTCTCCATTTTTTGACTGTAAGTAGAGTAGTTTGCTTGTTATGAGTGTGTTCATATTAGTTTGTTTTGGAGTATTGTGTAAGTTCAAGTATATACCCAAAAGAACATCAACTTCCTTTGCGACAGCACTGCTTTAGTTATTTTATCATTACAGTATTAATTGTAAATGCTCCCCAATCCAACAACCTAAGAAGAATTTTCTTTAATTTTTCATATTGGAGTTTGTCATAAATAATTTTCTGTATATACTGCACTGCTTTGATTTTAGGAATTAGATCACATATCTTGTTTGGGGGTGGGGATGTCTTTGAAAATTATTTTTTTACAAGGTATCTCATGATACATATGTTGAATGAGATGTATGCAGTATTGCACTCAGAAACCAGTATAATATAAAGTATCTATTTATCTATGTATATATATATATATATATATATATATATATATATATATATATATATATATATATATATATCACTGTTTTATTTTTACCAACTGCATGTGATAACCTGTTTCAAAAGCAATTTGTATTTTTCAGGAACCCTATTTTGTAAACCTGTTGATGGGTGGATATGACACAAATACCAATACAACTGAACTCCATTACATGGACTACCTGGCAGCATCTGTTCCAGTCAAATATTACGCCTTTGGATATGGTGGCATGTTCACTCTCTCCATTATGGACAAGGAATACAGACCTGGTAAGTTGCCAGAGGATATGCTCTTAGAACAGACATGCTAAAAGGAATCGGCAGTAGAAGGAATGCAGTTGTATGTATAGCCTGTATTTGTTGATGTTACTTTTTTTAGGGCAAGGGGTTTGGTCTTTTTATCAGTTTATTAAAATTTCTGGTGTATAACTTGCTGGGTGAACTTCAGATATCTTTGGAAATATATTACTATCCCAGATGATTTAGATATAACAGGAACTTCTCAAGTAATAGATATGCCATTCAGAAAAAAAAAAAAAATTATCATGCATAACTCACTTTTCAGACTTAAACCAAGACCAGGCCTATGAACTCCTCAAGAAATGCACCTCAGAGATCAAGCGAAGGTTCTTGGTCAACCTTCCCAAATTCCGTGTCAGAATTATCTCCAAGGACGGAATCAAGGATCTGCCTCATATTGTTGCAGAGGGTGAACCAGCATAAATGGAATGCCTAAAAGGGGTCAACTGTGCGATTTTAGGGGTACAGTGACATCAAGAATTCACATTCTCCATTTGTTTTCCTTCCTGTTTCCATAGCAGGATTTGGGGGAAAAGGAATCAATATAAAGCACTCTGTTTTTACGAATGAATAGTTCCGAGTTGGAAGATCCTTTTTTGTAATTTGAGAAATATTGCTGATACATATTATTTCTAGTGTGATGAAGTGCGATATTTGTCTGATATCTTCTGAAATATAATATGAATAAGAATCAGTTTTTCTTTGATATCCAGTGTATAGTTGCGTAGACTTCTACTTTGTATGGGAATCTGTGGACTTTGCTTATAAAGACTATTCATTGAATAAGCTATTGGTTCAATCTTAATACATTTTAGTTTTTTTTTTAATATGCTGCCTCAACTTTGTAGCCATTACATTATAAAAGTTGACCACTTGGTTTATATTTCCTGAAAGTGGAGAGACAAAAAGGAAAGTGCAAATTATACAGCATTGTTTCCCATTAATTGACTCTTAGGTATTTGTGTCATGTTGCTGCGGGTAAAAAATATTAGACCAATGGTTGGTATTACAAAAAAAAAAAAATGCTCCCATGATTTTTGATATACGAGTTAATTCATCTTGGCTTTCTGCTTCTATTAATGGCCAGGGGAACTTATGAGGACATGTGTTGGGTCTTTTCTCTTCCTCCTTTCCTTTTCTTTCTCTTCTCTAACCGCTTTTCTTAAAATGTGAGAGCTGTATTAACCCAGTGCCTACGGGTAAAATTGTTTGCAAAGTGGACGTAAGAACGAGATTGTTGGTGCGCATCGGCAGTTTCCCGTTTGCACCTGGCTAGATCGGTAGTTTGCGAGCAACGTTTAGTACCTAATAGCTTTTATTTTGCTATAATTTATAAAAATATTAATATTTTGAAGGTTTACCTTCATTATAGGTGCCATTGCCTAAAATCTTCACCATATAAATGAAGCTGCTACTATCAGAGAAAAACAAACTCCGTCTGATGAGCCAGTGGTATGGGAATGGGCATGATACGATGCCATCCATGTTTCGGTCAACAACAGCCATTACATGTACATACATGCCACCCGACGACTAGGGGTTAAAAGGAAAAGACTGGCTTTAGGTCAGTCCTGAACAGCCTCAGGGGAGCCCTTACCCCTCATGGGGACCCCTCTCCATTTCTCTTCCCCATGTACTCAAGGCTAACCATGGCCAATAATGATTTTCCACTCTCCTTTGGGGCATTGAGACTTTCCCCTTAATCAACTAGCGCCACAGACATAACTTTTCCACTTGGGCACACAGATTGTATCGGGAAATGGAGCAGCATTATTTGGCAGGGTGCACTGGATACCAACAATTCTGATATTGAAAATGAAATTTACAAAGAAATGGCTCCTACATACTTAAATACTTGGGTAATGCCATCATAATGTTACCTGAGTTTGCCAGTTTCTTTTTTTATTCTATATGTGACCAAATAATAATAATAAAAATTGGTGTGGTCTGCATACTGTAGACTAGCATCTAAATGTTATTTGGTAAAAAAAAAGGTTATTTGTCAATTTTGTTTGGTTAAAAAGGCTAACAAAAACAGTATTTGAATTTGAATCCAACATTTATACAAGTAATATGGAAAAAATATATATATATATAATGCCATGCATAGGTTATATGATGCAAGGTATGAAGCAGTGAAAAATAGTTTTAAAAAATTATATATATAAAACCAAAGAGTCGATACATTTCATAACTCAAGAAAACAGTTTTTCTTTTGTCCCTGCAGTATCAAAATCAAAGCAAAATAAATATTTTTTTAATAAAAGACTAAATGCCATACCTTATGTAACAAAAATGAAGTGAGGGTGTTAAAGAAACAAATCAATTTTAAAATGATTTTATTATACAGATATAAAATACTATATATATATATGCATGTTTTCCAAAAAATTACCACGTTTCTGTACGAGTCATGATAACTGTTATTATCTTCTCTGAACACAAGTTATGCAAGCAAAATTCCCTTACAAAATTAATACAAAAATAACTGGATGTCTTGTAATGGATCTGTGAAATTGTGAACTTCTGCTCAAAAAGTAGTCACACCATTTGGCTGTGTGGAATGAATATGAATAATAAAATGCGTGGTTTTTTGGGGGGCATTACAGAAATATACCCTACAATATTCATGTAGCTGCAACAGATCATAATGAGTATATATTTTTTTTCTTATAACAACTTCTACTAAAGTTCATATATATATATGTATAAACTGCATATGTACTATCTTATTATTTTCTTCTTACATGAAGTGAATGCCGTACATAGGCTAAATGATGTTGCATGGAATGAAGTTGTGAAAAATGGTCTCTATAAAAATAACCTTTTCATATCCAGTTCTACATCAGTATAAATTTTAACAACTGACAACACCTGTAATAACTTCCAAAAGTCTTAACACTTTATATTTCTTATTTCAATCATTTTTCATTTCACTATACTTTGTCATTATTACAATACAAAAACACTTAAAAGCACAAACAGAATTAATTCACGATGGACGCTTTTTACACATCTAATGTTCAAATATTTGAATACCTTCTCAAGTACAGAATCATGAACAGAAAAAAAAATCCAGTTAGTACATAGGTACAGTTAAATGTAATACACAAAATATAGCAAATATCTTCACTGAAACTAGAACTGCAATAAGGATTCAGGGATCTAGCATTTAGTATAATGTTCAAGCATATGTCAACATCTAGCAGACTTGTTAAGGAAGCTGTATTTTGAAAGGAAGTATCTATATGTACTATTAAGAGAAGAAACTGTTCAGCTGGCTGGGTTTTATAAAATCACAAATACTATAGAAATATGCAGCTAATTCTTGCACATGCACATTAGATATTCCTCAGAGCAATATTCACTGCCAGTCTGAAGCACAGCAGGATTGAAGAAAAAATTGAAGAAAAAAATTGCTCGTAACTATCATGAAAGAATTTCAGAGTCTGGTAACGTGACCAGACAGAAGAATTTTATTGCTACTGAATGTGGTTAAAGATATCTGAATATCAAATACATCAACAAAAACAGAGGAAAGGTCAACGAGAACAGTGTGTTTATTGAAAAGTGACTACAATGAAAGATTAATATTTCTTTTTAAATAAACTCCATTGCTAGAAAATATCAAACATCAACATATATACAAATATCAGCATCAATATTCTTACACTGCAACTAAGATATATAATAATAATAATAATTAATTAAGAAGTTCATTTGACAGTAAAATTACACCTTCACTTGGCTACAAAACAAAGAATTTTATAGCTTAAAAAAAAAAAAAAAAAAAAAAAAAAAAAAAAAAAATCTTTGTATTTTCTTAAAAACTATACAAATGGCACCAAAATGTGAAAAATACATCATTATTTCTCTTCTCGGTTATAGCATGGTCAGTTGACCAAGTTTAGAGCATTTCCACAGTTGTAATAATAATAATAGATGGAAGACACCAAGTCTCTTTGGACGTAGTTATTTATTCACATCCATGAGATTATGCAATGCTATTGAATGGTAATTCACTTTTTCTCAGAATGGTACAAGATACACATGTCAAGCATTTTTGCATACATACATTTCAACCCACAAACATTATCAATGCATGAACACGCAAACACATACATACATGCATGCACTTGTGCATACTAACACATGCACACACACACAAACGCACACAAACACGTACATGAACACACAAACCCACACAAACGCATGCACACGCATACACACACGCACATGCAGACACGCACACATACATACATGCACACACACAAACACAAACTGAAAGAATTTGATCATAAAAAAATGAATCAACATCATATACACTGCATGCTCTCAATCATATTGAAACATTCTTGTGTCCAATATAATGCTTTAAGAGTACAAATGCAAGTCTAAGTATGAAAGAGCACATTTGTAAATTGCCTGTGCTTCTGTGCCTGTAAGAAATATTGTGACATCTAAAGAACACTGAAGCATGAATAGTTTGGAACAATTCAATAATAAAAAAAAAAAAAATGAATGGCTGACTTCTACATTAGCTTGTGCATTGTACCAAAATCCTTGGAATTGGCAAAAATGAAGAGCACAGCACATTATTATTTCATCTTGCATTGTGAGTAATAAATTTCCATAAGACAATTAGGAACTATTACTTCAAGTATGTGTGACAAAGTGCCTATGACACTATGATCAAAGGACACGTGGAGTTAGATACAGCCTCCCAGCTGATCATAAATGTGAAAGCAGCCTCATATATGACAGAACTTGAAACTGGATAATAAATACATGGTGCTAAAATACCCTTCTAAAAAGCACCTACATTTGCTGTTTATATCTACTGGTATCTTATATAAATAGAAATCAGCAACATTACCTGTTTGAGGTGGCTTGGAATTTGTCAGAGATATGGATAGCATGAAGTCCTCTTTTCATTCTTTTAAAACAAAAATCTACACGAATAAAGAAAAGAAAAGTTGGAAAATGACGAACAAACAGTTTCATGCAAAGTGAATAAATTCTTAACTGTAATTACAGAAGCTTATTTGGAGGACTTGCTTCAATCATCTGGATTTTAGAACAACTGAAAATTCTTTGTTCTTTGGAACCTTTTCAGGTAATACAGGTACTGGAGTAAAAGAAGTAAATGTTGTGAGATGACGCTTCATAGGCTTCCATAATCAAATCACATTATATCAAGTAACATGTCATGATACAAATTTGCAAGTAAATATTTTGTGAATATACTTTCAATAATAATTTCTTGGGTATATGTTTGGCCTAAAGAAAAGTTCTATATATGAAGGTGTTATCCTTTTTTTTAAATTGTGCAAAGGAGTTTTCCCAAATAGCATACGGACATGCTGCAAAGTTTAAAATGGTTCTCTTCCATAGCACACATTCATAATATATTTAAGTATTTGGAGGGGGGGAGAGAAAAAAAAAAAAAAAAAGTTATAGTACTTTTAAATATAACATTTTCTTAATGTAATTTGACCTGAGGCATTTGAAAACGAGTGCAGACTTCCAGAGAAAAGTATGTACGTTTACCCACCACTCTTCTTTTGCTATCTACCCTCTAAGTATAGAGATTACAGTGAGCAATTGAGTACATTGTACAAACGCTGTTGGTTGAATTCTCCTTATAATACCTATCATTCTCATCCAGTCCTGAGCCAATCACTAAGTTGCGCAAGTTACAGTAGTTTGTGCCAAAATCTATCACAGCATAGGACAATCCAGACACGCTCACCGCCTATGAAAAAAGAAAAATTACCCTGTCATTAGCAAATTATGCTAAAGAAAAAGGAATAAATATATAACAAAATCCATTCACTTTTTTATCTGTTCAATGCTTTAGTCTACTATACTGAGGGAAATAAAAAACAAGATGCTTTTATGACCCTCCTTAAAATCTATCATACTGTCCATTTAGTAGTAAAGTCAGTTTCAAGGAGAAAGTGATATACTTTAAGTTTGTCATTTATCTAACAACCCATCTACTATATAATTCATAATCCAGTTTCACAAGTAACATCTCATTTCCTGGTGTTCAAAATCAAATAAGCACCAGTAGAGCAACAGGCAAAAGACACCTACCGTTACATGGCAGTTTCCACCGTTGGCATTCATGGTGAAGTTCAGCTTATCCTCAAACTTTAACAAAGGAGTTCTGTGCAAGCCTCGGATAACGTTTCCATCTTCACCCAGGTACTGTGGAGATGCATGGGAAATTAAATATTGCAATCCTTGAAGTATGCCCAGGATCACATGCCATACAGCATATAATCCACACCAACTGTTGATAAGAAAGACCTTTCTTGCTAATTAGCTGGAAGGATCTGTTTAAGCACAAAATGGAGTCTGATCAAGGAAAACAGTCTATTATCTTAATTCAACATAACAAATGACAAATACAAACTTTGGAAAATGAAAAAACAGTGCTTCTGGAAAAAAAAAAAAAAAAAAAAGTGTTACATAGAGAAGGCAAGGAATGATCATAACACACATGTTCCTGTAAACCAGGCCTAAAAGCCACACATCAGGGAGATATACCATAAATGGGCTGCCAGGCACCCAAATCCAAAGGGAAAAAGTCCTTTAGACATTAATTCAACTTTCTTTTTTTTTTTTTACAATACCTCATAGCCGCACTGTTGTTTTGTAGAGCAGTCATCATGCTCCCAGGCCTTCATCTGTTCAATAAGCTTGGTCTTCACTGTTGTGCAGGACTTGCCAAATACCCTACAAGAAGAAAAAAAAAAAAAAAAACAAGCTTCATATATTTAGTTTATCATTCTTGAAAAATAATATGAATTACCAAGACTTGATTCTGTGCATTATTGCTGCACACCTAAAATTTCATCCTTGTTAATAATTGTAAGAATCATAAACTTTGTTTTCTTCATATCATTATACAAAATAAATAAAAGCAAATCTGAAATCTGTAACTCCAAATAATAGCTGAAGGAAGGAAGGAAGGAAGGAAAGAAGGAAGGAAGGAAAGAAGGAAGGAAAGAAGGAAGGAAGGAAGGAAGGAAGGAAGGAAGGAAGGAAGGAAGGAAGGAAGGAAGGAAGGAAGGAAGGAAGGAAGGAAGGAAGGAAGGAAGGGAAGGAAGGAAGGAAGGGAAGGGAAGGAAGGAAGGAAGGAAGGAAGCAGGAAGAGGCAAAGTGAGGAAGAGGTGAGGGAGAGGGTGAGGGTGAGGAAGACGGTAAAGGATGACAACAAAGAAATAGTTTGTTTAATAATAATAATAATAAAAAAAATCCTTCAAAGCTTTACTTGAGTTTACTCTCAGCATTAAAAAAAACATGCACAATGCAACAAGTATTACAAAATAAACTCAGCAACCTATAAAAAAAAACATCATAGAAGTTCAAAATCTTACCAGTTAACACGGCATGAGGCATGGCTTGGATATGGGAAGAAGGCACTAAAGAGACCTAAGCTAGCTGCAATAAACACGGCAGCCACAAGAAGCACACAGCAACAGAGCTTACATCCACAACAACAACCTGAAAATCACAATGTTAAGTGAACATTCAACAGCAAATTATTTAAAGTGAATAACAAAAAGCATCCACATACAAACTGCTATAAGAATGTCAAAGTAAACAATGTCAAATTAAACAAAGTAAAAACATCAACATTACCTATCTTAAAACATATATATCATAGAATATTCTATGATATTATACATCATTATATATTATCTATTGTATACTATTACCTATATCAATAGACATATACATATTATATAATATGTATGTAATTATCTACAATATATATAATAATACACAATATATTACAAGGGATCTGTAAATTAGTTATCTATTTAATCCTTTTGATCACACAACAAAATTTACTTTTTGTAATTTACTTACGAGGTTTTAGATTCCAAACTTAATACAAAAGAAAAGCATCAAATCCACCAATAATCAAAATGGAAATATATCAAAAACTTCAACAAATATAACAACTGTCAATGCATTAAAACAGAAAAGGTACCAATCTTAATCACAATACATATAACCATTTGAAAATTCCTCCAATTTATCAAAAAATTTAGAAGTTAGAAATCAAGTTCCACTAATCTGGAGAAAATTAGAAAAATGGCTATATACATTCAAAATCAATACCTATAAAGCTCATATACAGACATGATGCAACTATTACATCATAAAAAAAAATTTGGCTGAGTGTATGTGTGTGTGTGTGTGTGTGTGTGTGTGTGTGTGTGTGTGTGTGTGTGTGTGTGTGTGTGTGTGTGTGTGTGTGTGTGTGTGTGTGTGTGTGTGTGTGTGTGTGTGTGCAGGAGGACTTGAACATGTCATTATGGGAAAATTTGGCTGTTTGCCGGGTTGCCATAAACATACTGCTGTGAAAATTTTGGCTTGCGTGATGGGAATGACTCGCCCCGGGTGTCCAAAGTTCTTGGAGGGCGATTTGACTAGGGAGTGGTTTTTACATTATTTCGATCATTAAACAAATATGGAATGTACCATCTGAACCAGCACTGGAAGAGCAACAGTTCCTGGAAGGACACCTTTTGCATGCTCAGGATCCTATTCCTGTCCAGCATGACCATCAGCACAAGTTGTATTACGGAAAATCTAATATTGTAAAAAAAATTAAATGACAAAAATAAAGTGTTATTGTTATTATTACTGCACCAAGTTACAGACTAACTAGAGGAGACGACATGGAGTCTGTGCAAAGACAATATTACCATCTGGATAAAGCAAATCAAATGACAAATATAAGTACTGGAAAATGGTAAAAAAACTAATAACATTACAAAGGGGAGGCATAGTGTCCTATCAATGTATACAAGTGTTTGTGTGCCCAGCCTACAAGCCAACAACTGTAAGAATGGCCACTAAAGTAATTATTGCCCATACTTAAGGCCACGTGATGGCAGTAAAGCTTCTGGATCCACCGATATAATATAAAGAAGCAGCAACTAAGCTCAACAGATAACACTGGATCAACAAAATAATCAAACTAGAAATTATAAATAAGAAGTTAAAAATAAACAAATAAGCAAGTATAATCCTGGGTATTAATTCAAGGAAAATAGTAAATTACAAAATATAAATGCAGAGGAGTAAATTTGAAACTACATATGATATTATAACCAAGACTAGTGTTGTAGAACCACATACAAGATACCATTACTCACACATGTCTATGCTAATAAGTAATAATAATAATAAAATCACAGGAATATTTTTAAGACGCCACAAGAAATGCAACGACGAAATCCATGATTTCGAAACTTCTATTCTTTAGAAATTATAATCTTTTCCTCTTTCTTACAATTATTTCTCTAGTCACATCTCACTCTTGTATATCTAAATACATCTATATATATATCACCAATAACATTTTCTCACACATTTTTAGACGATAACTTTCCAAACGAAGAATCCAGTAAAATCCAGTATGACAAGAAGAAGAAATGCACGTACTGCATTGATGATGTCAACTGCGTTAACAAAGACACGCATTAAAAAACCTCTGCAAATTTAACACACATCCCTCACAACATCTAACTTGACATCCCTTTAAACTCCGTAAATTCACAAAGACATGTTACCCATTTTGAGCTTGGTTTGTAGTGTCAGGATCTCACGAAAGGGGCGGAAGTGAGAGGATTAGAACACTATTATGTGCATCCTGCGTCGTCGTGAGGCTTTCCTGCATCAGCTGATTCCCTAAACAATGACGATATGTTATTTTCATGAGTATTTTTTCATCTTACTTCTGAAAGCTGTCTACTTTTTAGATCTTTTCCTAAGTGTGATTATTTATCGCTGTTATTTAGAGGGTATCTTATTATATATTAATTAATTCCGTGTTTTGTTGGATCGTAATGTTTTTTTTTTTCTTATTCATGTGCTTGATTTTATTCGTTTTATTTTCTAAAAGATTTCTTAAATTATTTGTTTCTTTTACTTTATAGCAAATTAAACCTAACCTTTAATTATTTCCATGGAGGGAAACAAGAGTAAAAAATAAATATACGGGTTTGCAGGTTGCCCCATTCTTTTTAACCAAGTGTGGTAGTTACGGAATACTCCTCCTTCACTGCTTATATAGTAATAATAAAAATGACAGGTTTTAAATGTGAAAATAGAGAAAAAATAAGTGATAGACACCATAATATATATCTTCCCCAATAGTGAATTTAGCAATATTCTCTATATAAATCTACAGATTTCTACAAACCTGAAAATAATTAAACGAGCCAACAAAATTTAAAAATTACAATTTATCACGAATAAAACCCAATAAGAAGGAGAATTCTATCTTGCGCATACCGACCCTCTTTTGTTTCGCCGCCATCTTAGTCGACGCATGCGCAGACGCTTGTTTCTTCAGGTCTTTCCAGTGCATCAGCCTCAACCATGCCACCTAAAAGTGAGTTCTCGGCATATTTTTGCTGAAATTAACGATTTTTAAGGGGTTTTATCCCCGGAATGGCAGTGGTGAGCAAGAGGAGAGGGTTTTTGCAAGGGATATAGTGCGCCGGTGTATGTGAATATAGTGGAAATTCGCAGAAATAAGTGATAATTAGGACTGGGGAGAATTGAAGCTCCACGTGTTGTTGGTGTTTGTGTTGGAGACAGTGTGATGTGCTAATGTCATTTGTAGTCTTTATTGGAAGGCTTTTCATTGTACGATTAATTACCGCATGCATGGCAATTTTTCATTAGACGGTGTCATTTCTTAATCACGAAAATCGTAGCACTTTAGACCTAAAAGTTTGTCGGCTTTAGGCCACGCTGAGCAGAGTTGCTAGTCTACGGCAAAAAATGGAGAAAAATACATTTAATGTGTGTATACCAAGATGATCTTTGTACGTTAGTTAATATCTAAGAAGTTCCACGTAAAGCCTAGCGGTGTGACGAAAAGGGACCATGTGTGCGTTCGGGGAGTGAAGATTTGTTTAGTTTTATCTAGGGCTTGGGACAGTTTTGGTACCGTTTTATACTGCTGTACAGGATGTTTTCTACACATTAAATACGTTTTGGGATTCAAAGGGTAGGGTAGTGCAAAGGGATTACGATGAACGAATCTTGGTGTTCGCTGTTGAGGTCTGACACTGGTGTAGGCCTAGGGTGCCATGTATGTTGGTAGCTTAGGTTTTGGTGACGAGTCCAATGGTTTCCTGGGTTTATTTAAGCCATGAACAATTGGGGCTTTTGCTAATCGTCCTTGAACAATTGAAGGGCACAGTACCAAAGTGGTGACTTTGTAAACAAACCTTCCAATATGGCTTCCAGATTAATTGGTTTCTTTTTCTGCAAAGCAAATCCAGGCAATTCTTTTCATTTAATATACAAGCTTTTCAGCTGGACTCCATTTCATGCCTGGGATGCCCAAGGAGTGCAATATACCGCACACCTACAAAATTATTACCAGTAAGGCCAGGAAAGTGCTGCTCACATCCAAAGTCCACTTAGTTCTCTCAAAGTTTCAGCTGTCTTGCCATGCATATGAGGTGAAATTTCAGCTGTCTTACCATGCATATGAGGTGAAAACTGTTTTCCAGTTGGTGTTAGGGACTCTCCCATTGACTGTCTCCTTGGGCAGTGCCTGAAGAGCATGCTCAATCACAGCAACTTAAATTGTGTAATAAATTTTATGGCGTGGAGTTCGGTACTGTCTTGCATGAGTGCGCCTGTACGGTAAAGAATTACAAATTTAATCAACATCCAAACTTTGTCTCGGGTATGGTTTTTTCAAAGGGCATGGATTACAAAGTAAAATTTGCCAATAATGGACAGAATGACCAAAAATACTTTTCTTATTTGGTGTTTCTTTTGCACGTTGATATTGAAGTTGTGCAACACGTAATACTTTGGTATACATTTTCTGGAAAATGTAATGGCATTGTTGTAAAGAGAAACTATATTCCCTAATACATGAAACCTCTGTAGGCAAAAATGTCATGGCAAATGTTGCACGCAGAGGAAGTCCACAATGATGAGTGGGGTCCAAGGCGGAGTCCCTGAAAAGGATGTATGGCAGTTGTATGGGAGTTTGGGGCAAAGCCTTTTGGTTAGCTTTATGATTTATACAGCTGTTTGAGGATTTCCCATAAATGGTTGGAGGAATGGGGATCAATCATGGAGAAGGGTCACTTTTTGTAAATGCCAATTTTTTTCACATTTGGGATGGAAAATAAGATTTATGCATATCACAGTTTTGATAATTGAAAGAAGATATGAGTATTGCAAGAATTAATGGCTGAGTATCAGAATACTACCCTGGGGCCCCAAGAAGAGGGAAGCACAAAGTAGTTAGGCTTTTATTAGCAATCTCCTTTAATTTTTCCTTTATTTTTGATGTTGCCGTTCGAGGCTGATGCACAGAGATAGGTGGAAATGGACACTACCATCTTATAAAGCATAAGAAAGTCATATAGAACATAGGTACAGCTGCTTAGTTCTCATATTTACCACAAAAAATAAATATCTGGTGCATATCACCACTCGGAAACTAATTCCACAACTCTAGCACACATTTAGTTCTTAATGTCTATTTCGCAAAGTTGGCAGGAAGAGCTAATAAAGCAGGGGTACATGGATGAATGAAAATTTATAAAAGTAGGGGTTTTAGTCTGACAGGTGCAGTGTGTTGCAAATTTATACTTTAAATTTAAATCCAGGAGGAATCTGGTATAATTTGGTAAGACTACATCAGTTAGAAAGTCAATTAATGAACTGTTAAAAACGTTACCTCCAAAATTGCCGCATTAACCAAAAATCATCTCATCTTGGTGGCTTCACCCCCCAGAGTAAATGTTTTCCTAGCCAGAGCCCTGAGCGCCTCTTTCCAAGTGCCATTTCGCCATACAATCCTTTTGCATACATTAACTGAATTTTTTGTGGTCTTGAAGACAGGGGTTTGTCTATTGTGATAAGAAATTTATTCTACAATCTAACTTTCCAAACACCCTTCAACAAACTTCATTTCATTATACAAAGCAAAATAGTTAACTCAGGAGCATTAAGTGGACATTATTATTTTATACTGACAGCTGCAATGTTTAACCCTCTACAAGAATGTATTGATGATTTGCCCAAGCTTTGTGCATGCATACAGGCACGGTAAAGATTACTTTATGATTGAGTTTGATGGGAGTGTAATACAGTTTAGGTGGGAAGCATAGCAAGAAAATTAAGCCTTTCTTTGGGAGACACTTTGGATTGGGTCTAGAAAACACCCTTTGAAATATCAAGTCTTGTCAAGATATTTGGTAGATGCAGAAATGAGAACTAAATATTTAAGCAGGTAGCACATATTACTAAGATCTTGTATATTTTTTTAAAAAGGCATTATATGGTCAAAATGGTACATTAGATCATCTCCACAATTTGAAAATTGGTAGATTCTATCAAGTATGGTGAGTTAGTGTGTCTGTGTAGATTATTTTGGGGGCTATGGCTATGGAATGAGATAATTTTGTGAGGTCAGGCCCAAGTAACTTGCGTCTATTTTTTTGGACCTTGGTTTACCTGGACCTGTAGCTTCTTGGGAAAGTAATTATAGTAAGATGAACCCTATCCATGTTGACAAATGTAGAAAAGGTATGAATGAGACTGGATATCTTCACAAAAGATGTAATTGACCGGTTTCGATTGCATCTTCATCAGAAATACATGTATTTCTGATGAAGACGTAATTGAAACCGGTCAAATACATCTTTTGTGAAGATATCCAGTCTCATTCATACCTTTTCTATATAATTATAGTAAGTTGAATTATGAATAAGGATCACTCACAATTGCTAAAACCCAATGTAAACTCTGGAAACCAACTGTGAAGCCAATATTTTTGAAAGTTCTGGCGATTTATAATTTGCTTTGTAGAATGTAGATTTGCCTTATTCTTGACCATAAACAAGGGCCTAATAGTTTAATACCATAAGTCAATCTGAAAAATGCTTTCAAAGTTAATCAGTAATATTCTAGGAAATTTATTTGCTGAAGTATCTCAATTTATATTCCAGCTTGATTAGCTATGGTTCATGTTAGTTTAACCTTTAGATTTTTAAGTGCTGAAAGGAAAAGAAAAATATGAATATTTTTTTCAGAGGATAAGCCTGCGGCTGCTGCTGGCGCTAAGAAGCCAGCACCAGCAAAGAAGCAGAAGGTTGCAGCTGCCCCCGCTAAGAAGACTGCACCCATTAAGGGAGTTGCCAAGGCCCCCAACAAGAATGTGAAGAGACTAGGAGGCAAGGACCCTAAGAAGGGCAAGGGTGGAGCAGTCAAGAAGGCTAAGAAGATGGCAACCAAGGTAAATTGATTCCAGTAAAAGTTGAGAAAAATATTTGACTACTTAAATATTGATTGTAAATATAGGTTGTAAATACAGGTTGTAAATACAAGTTGTAATTTTCTTAATGTTATTGAATATAACAAATTGACCAGTTGAATATTTGTATTATATACTTTCATCCTCTTAACAGGTTGTCAACGGGCCCCGTGGTACCCGCGTAAAGAAGATCAGAACCAACATCCGCTTCCGCAGGCCCAAGACCCTTGAATTGCCAAGGAATCCTAAGTACCCCAGAAAGTCAACCCCCAAAAAGCCAAAGTATGTAACTGCTAGCTTATAATTGATAGTTTCATTTGTAGATATTGGGACATTACATTCTTGATAGTGAAATTAATATTAAGAGGCATTTCATAGCTTACTGTTAATTCAGTAGTGTAATAACCTGAAA